TGGTCTCTGGGTAGTAAGACGCGACGCTCGTGTGTATTTTTGCGCACTTAAAAAATCCCTTGTCAGTTGGAAATCGAAAATAGTAGCCTAATGGTGCTGCCCGGGGAAATTTTAACTTAAAAATATACCGAAAATATTTCAGTATCCTTGCCGGTGCTACGAAGCCCATGCACTGCGCTAAGCTACTTAGGACTCAGTCTTGAGTCAGAACGGAGCACTTATCGGTTACTACCCTTGTGTCATGATGCTGATACGTAGTATAAACTCCAAACCTTAATCAATATGGAGCAGCCCGTAGGTCGTGGCCTAACCGTAACGTAACACTTTAAAGTTTTTATCAAGAATTATGATACGTTAAGACTTTGAGACTTGATCTGGTCATTTGTAATCTAAGATATAAGACGACAATTTAAAACATACCTTTAGAGTGGACATGCTTGAGAACGAAGGCTGTCCAGAATCAGTGACCAACAACTGGTACTCCGAGTCTCTGGCTGTTGGGAAGTTCGTTAGTCGAACATGACCGGTTGTTGGATCTATGTCAAAGTATTCCCTGTCAGATTAATAATTAAAGTCAAATAAAGTACCATTTTTCTCGTCATTAGGCGTATTGGGTATGTTGTTCTAACCTTATATTTTACAGACCAATACACCACTTCATGGGTTTTGTGGTTAATACCATTCCGGTCGCCTTTATTTCGCAGGACTTTACCTGCTAACCCATTTTAGTTTCATGAAGAGACTTCTTGAAGAACTGTATGAAACCGGAATGACAAGACAAAAGATGGAAGGATATCCTCCAAAACAAACTGTTCATGAATGAAGACCAGCTGACATTAAAAACAGCACAGAAGATATCCCTCCCCCCCTTGTTGTTGTTGTTATATTCAGTAACGGGTCACTTATGGGAAAACCCTTGTGAATTAAATAAGGTGCCATAAAAAATTGTTTTATGTACACACACACACACACATACACACACGTAACACATAACCGACTTAGCAGTCCCTTATGGCTTCTATTATATCTTAAGTATTAAAATTCAGCGCTTTTCCTTAGGTAGTACAGTTCTAATATGTGTGTGTGTGTGTGTTCGTATGTGCGTGTGTGTGTGTTTTAATATTAAAAATGTACTATTTGTCTTGCTGGAATCCGGGTCGACCCAGACTTAAATGGGTACTAGTGTTCTTTTTTTCTTTCCTCTCCACAATATTCTCAATATTCTACTTTTCCTGTCTCCACAATATTCTCAATATTCTACTTTTCCTATCTCCACAATATTCTCAATATTCTACTTTTCCTATCTCCACAATATTCTCAATATTCTACTTTTCCTATCTCCACAATATTCTCAATATTCTACTTTTCCTATCTCCACAATATTCTGAATAGACTTCTTGAATCCACCATACTTTTCCTATCTGACCACAAATTCTCAATATTCTACTTTTCCTGTCTCCACAATATTTCTTGAATAATCTACTTTTCCTGTCATCCACAATATTCTCAATATTCTACTTTTCCTATCTCCACAATATTCTCAATATTCTACTTTTCCTATCTCCGCAATATTCTCAATATTCTAGATTTCCTATCTCCGCAATATTCTCAAATTCTACTTTTATATATCCGCAATATATCATATATTCTACTTTTCCTATCTCCACAATATTCTTAATATACTTTTCGTATATATACAATATTCTCAATATTCTACACACACTATCTCCGCAATATTCTCAATATTCTACTTTTCCTATCTCCGCAATATTCTCAATATTTCTACTTTTCCTATCTCCACAATATTCTCAATATTCTACTTTTCCTATCTCCGCAATATTCTCAATATTCTACTTTTCCTATCTCCGCAATATTCTCAATATTCTACTTTTCCTATCTCCGCAATATTCTCAATATTCTACTTTTCCTATCTCCGCAATATTCTCAATATTCTACTTTTCCTATCTCCGCAATATTCTCAATATTCTACTTTTCCTGTCTCCACAATATTCTCAATATTCTACTTTTCCTATCTCCGCAATATTCTCAATATTCTACTTTTCCTATCTCCGCAATATTCTCAATATTCTACATTTCCTATCTCCGCAATATTCTCAATATTCTACTTTTCCTATCTCCGCAATATTCTCAATGTTCTACTTTTCCTATCTCCGCAATATTCTCAATATTCTACTTTTCCTATCTCCGCAATATTCTCAATATTCTACTTTTCCTATCTCCGCAATATTCTCAATATTCTACTTTTCCTATCTCCGCAATATTCTCAATATTCTACTTTTCCTATCTCCGCAATATTCTCAATATTCTACTTTTCCTATCTCCGCAATATTCTCAATATTCTACTTTTCCTATCTCCGCAATATTCTCAATATTCTACTTTTCCTATCTCCGCAATATTCTCAATATTCTACTTTTCTTATCTTCGCAATATTCTCAATATTCTACTTTTCCTATCTCCACAATATTCTCAATATTCTACTTTTCCTATCTCCGCAATATTCTCAATATTCTACTTTTCCTGTCTCCACAATATTCTCAATATTCTACTTTTCCTATCTCCACAATATTCTCAATGTTCTACTTTTCCTATCTCCACAATATTCTCAATGTTCTACTTTTCCTATCTCCACAATATTCTCAATGTTCTACTTTTCCTATCTCCACAATATTCTCAATGTTCTACTTTTCCTATCTCCGCAATATTCTCAAAGCTCTACTTTTCCTGTCTCCGCAATATTCTCAATATTCTACTTTTCCTATCTCCGCAATATTCTCAATATTCTACTTTTCACATCTCCGCAATATTCTCAATATTCTACTTTTCCTATCTCCGCAATATTCTCAATATTCAACTTTTCCTATCTCCGCAATATTCTCAATATTCTATTTTTCCTATCTCCGCAATATTCTCAATATTCTACTTTTCCTATCTCCGCAATATTCTCAGTATTCTACTTTTCCTATCTCCGCAATATTCTCAATATTCTACTTTTCCTATCTCCACAATATTCTCAATATTCTACTTTTCCTATCTCCGCAATATTCTCAATATTCTACTTTTCCTATCTCCACAATATTCTCAATATTCTACTTTTCCTATCTCCACAATATTCTCAATGTTCTACTTTTCCTGTCTCCACAATATTCTCAATGTTCTACTGTTCCTGTCTCCACAATATTCTCAATGTTCTACTTTTCCTATCTCCACAATATTCTCAATATTCTACTTTTCCTATCTTCACAATATTCTCAATGTTTTACTTTTCCTGTCTCCACAATGTTCTCTATGTTCTACCTGGGAAGTAAAGGCGGTCAGCGTGATGTTGACTACATCTCCCACCGAGTGCCGATTGGTCTATAAAATATAGGTCTGGTCCCATATGCCCAATACGCCCGAAGACGTGGAAAAGGTCCTTTACTGTTTGTTTTGTTTTATTGACTGACTTGCTGGAAGTGTTGCTGACAACCAGTGTAACAGACAGACATGGAGAAACTTACTTCCCTGTAGCCATAGAGAATGTCAGCCTTGCATTCATTCCGATGTCTCTGTCTGTTGCCTGTCGGGCGATTTAGTTGAAGACAGAGAACAGCATTGCAATCGTTAACATTTGCTGTTTAACTGTTCATTTAACTCTTACAATCGCCAATAACTTTCATTCAACTCTTACAATCGCAAATAACTTTCACTTAACTCTTACAATAGCAAAAAAACTTTTATTTAACTCCCATGTTAATGGTGCCGGTGCCCTGCCAGCCAGAACTGCCCATTACTGCCTGTCTTTACCACCTTTGTGGTGTAGGCAGGGGCGTCTTTGAGCCTCAAGATTTAGGGCTGCGTGGCTAGCGCTGTCGCCACGAACTGTGCAGCCAGGGATTTTTGTTGTTGCTACCGACAGAAAAATAAATGCCACGACCTTCTAGAGGATTCGAACCAGGGTCTCTTGCTGCCAGTAGTCACCTTATGACAAATTTGGCATATATTGTCCTCGGTAAAGTGTCTTACAGACACTCAGCTAATTCCTCTCGGAACCAGCCTCGCCAGCAATGGGAACTTTAACCTGCAGCACAACTGACATCCGGGAGCCTTCATCAATTCCGCTTATCAAAATACAGCCGACGAACAGAAGGGTGTTTGGTGGCAAGCGAACAAAAGAAGACGAAGAAAATAAGAAGTATGTGTAATGATACATACCAAAATGTAAGACATATAGGTGCATTCACATTAACAAGTAAGAGAGTTTATGTACAACACTCATATAAAATGCATGCAACACACTTTCATGTACGTAAAAATGCATACACTGACATACAAGACGGACTGATTGTTTTTCAATTCTTTCAACACCAGACAATGTATTGTGAATTTATGGGTAATGCCAAACATAATATAGTTTTCTTGCTGTCTCCTGTTACAAACAAGTTGTTGTTTTTGTTTGTTGTTTGTGTTCACCGGCTGTAAACGCTGATGGAAGGACTTAATTGTTTGTCCATTTCTAGACTTTGGCTTTGTCCTAGGACCTAAGTTATCCGCGTGCATCCGTTTTACAGATCTTGCTTATTTGTATGCAGACTGCTGGTTTCTTTTCTCTCAGGCAGAAGCACTGTAAAATTTGAAAGATAGCCCCAGTTAGTCGACTATTACGACATGCTTTTTGGGGATGCAGTGGGTCTATTCTTGTTTTCTCCACAGTGGGACCCCGGAACCCACACGGAAACAGACAATTTGTTCCATAGCGCTTTGTAAACAGATCAAATGACTTGGTCATGTAACAAGACTGACAACAGACAGGGCACCACATAGAGCAATGTTATACAGATAACTGATCCAGAGGTCGACCACGAAGATTATGGACCATAGAAATATCAGAGACAGTAAAAAGTATTACTTAGAGAGCGAACAGAAGGACTTTTTTCAGTGATCTCTTCCTGCCCTGACACCGCGAGGGATTCCAGGAGTAGACAAGGAGAAGAAAAGGTAACTAAATTATTAGTTTAATCACTTTTATCTCAAACTGATCATGTAAACCTGAATATGTATTACCTTTAACTCTTCTTCTTGGAATCAAACAAGGTAAAGTGAAAACTCTATGTCACTGCACACATCACCATCAGGTAGCAGATCATATGCAAAACGTGGCTCTCATCTCAACCTGCCTGCAAGAAACCCGACCTCTCACTATATCTCCCGCCTCGTGCACCATCCTACCAAAGGTGTCCTTATATCATGTGCTTATCTCCTCGCTGGTCGACCCCTGCCCCTCCTTCCTGGTACCATGTCGTATTCTATTATTCTTTCCTATCCTATTCCTATAGCCAAAATATTTGCGTTTCTGAAACACAATGCTTTTTACAAGTCAATCTTCATTGATGTTCAGAACATTTAGGATGTCTTATATTTCTTTACTTCTTGGTCCATTTTGCTGCCAAACCAGTCTTATATATTTACATTGAAACCCCCCCCCCCCTCCTCACCCCAGACACAAAAGCCTAGTATGTGAGAATGAAGAGCCCATAGGCCTAGAAAGGCTGTGGCTATCTGCTATCTGTCTATGGAAGCAGACATCTAGAAGATAAACTTATACTATTGAAGTGTGTAGATGTTGGCCTGTAAAACGTGATTAGACAACAAACAAACATCTATGCATCGTAACAGATGTGAGTAAATACATTGTAGCCCACCAGGACATCGCACAGAGCGATAAACACCCGGTGACACAAAGTGCTACCATGCAGATGAGGATCACCTGTGGAGGTGTCCTGGAAACCCCGTTCATCCGGTAAGTTATTTTCGGTCCCTCCGGCAACAGGCAGTCTGGGGCTTCGAAATAACGAAACATTGAATCCCACATGGGGACGACTTCTATTACATAACAGAGGACCGAGAACAGAGACGTCTAGGTTCTGACTCATGACCAAACATTACTTAGACACATTTACTTACGTAGACTTACATTGACTTGAAGAAGAGTCTGATTGATCGTCCAGCCCCTATCTATGTTGACGACATAGACAGACTGTCCAAACACTGGGGCATTGTCATTGACATCGCTGACGTGACGTAGACAACCATGACAACAGAATTGACCTGCACATGTGGAGGAAATGCCTGTCTTGTTAAATAATTCACAGCAAAATCGTTACTAACAGGGTGTCAACATACGGGTAGGTTGCAGGGGAGAAGAAGACTGGGGGTTTTGACATCACCCTTTACCCCCCCCCCCTTCCGATAAGAATTTGAGCACCCCCCCCCCCCCCCCCCGACCGACACAGCCCAAAGAAAATTGAATCAACTCCACCTAAATTTGTAAGAGGGGTTAAGTTTACCGCCCCCACCCCCACCCTTTTCCGTTTCAACCAAGCATAGAAATCTGTTCAAGTTTATGGTTATCATCATCATCATCATCATCTAGTGCCTTGCCGACTGGCTTGGGCGGTCATACCTCTCCACCATCTGCGATCTTGGACAACATGTAACAGTTTGTGTGCCTCCTTGCCATGACAAAATCTTTCAAGAACCGTCTGTCGTACATTTTTTTCCCCTTACAGATCTTTGCAGTGTTCTAGTTTCCGACTTTTTGTTAGTACATATTCTTTTTCCCCGGCTGTAAACTCCGATGGAGAGTTTTGGTTGTTCGCTCACTGTCTAGTCCTGTTCCAGAACTCGAGTCTCGCGGGCACATTAGTTTTCATAGATCTGACACATGTATATGCAGACTACTGGTTCCTTGCATCTCGGACAGATGCACTTGACTTCGAAGGAAGCTCTCTAATAGTCCTATTATGACATGCTTGTTGGAGAGGCAGTGGGTCTATTCTTGTTTTCCCTACATTGGGGAATTACTTTAACAAGACTGATGCCCCTTGAACTTTTTCACCCACAAATTTGTAAGTGATGTGATCTCAGGATTATTCTCTGTCGACAATGTTCTCGACGTTCTTCATTTGTTCTTTCTACAGTGTTCTCAATGTTCTTCTTTTGCACTCTCTACAATGTTCTCAATGCTTTACATAGCAACCACGCCATCTCCTTGTGAGATGCAATTTTTCTCTATTTTGAAGCCCCACCTGGCTCTTGCCAGGGGCCCGCAATATAGCCCGACCATAAATATGGTCTAATGGCTGAACGCGGTTTCTGAGACCTCTCCACAGTGATCTTCATCCACATGTTGGCACTTTGTGTCATCGGGAAGTTTATCGCTTGTGTGATGTTCTGGTGGGGTAAACATCTATTCTACTACTCTACTTCTCAATGTTCTTCTTTCCCCCCTCTTTCAACAATGTTCTCAATGTTCTTCTTTTCCCCTCTCTCAACAATGTTCTCAATGTTCTTCTTTTCTTCTCTCTCAACAATGTTCTCAATGTTCTTCTTTTCCCCTCTCTCAACAATGTTCTTCTTTTCCCCTCTCTCAACAATGTTCTCAATGTTCTTCTTTTCTTCTCTCTCAACAATGTTCTTCTTTTTCCCCCTCTCTCAACAATGTTCCCAATGTTCTTCTTTTCCCCTCTCTCAACAATGTTCTTCTTTTCCCCCTCTCTCAACAATGTTCTCAATGTTCTTCTTTTCCCCTCTCTCAACAATGTTCTTCTTTTCTTCTCTCTCAACAATGTTCTCAATGTTCTTCTTTTTCTTCTCTCTCAACAATGTTCTCAATGTTCTTCTTTTCTTCTCTCTCAACAATGTTCTCAATGTTCTTCTTTTCTTCTCTCTCAACAATGTTCTCAATGTTCTTCTTTTCTTCTCTCTCAACAATGTTCTCAATGTTCTTCTTTTCTTCTCTCTCAACAATGTTCTCAATGTTCTTCTTTTCCCCTCTCTCAACAATGTTCTCAATGTTCTTCTTTTCCCCTCTCTCAACAATGTTCTCAATGTTCTTCTTTTTCCCCTCTCTCAACAATGTTCTCAATGTTCTTCTTTTCCCCCTCTCACAACAATGTTCTCAATGTTCTTCTTTTCCCCTCTCTCAACAATGTTCTCAATGTTCTTCTTTTCCCCTCTCTCAACAATGTTCTCAATGTTCTCAATGTTCTTCTTTTCTTCTCTCTCAACAATGTTCTCAATGTTCTTCTTTTCCCCTCTCTCAACAATGTTCTCAATGTTCTTCTTTTCCCCTCTCTCAACAATTTTCTCAATGTTCTTCTTTTCCCCCTCTCTCAACAATGTTCTCAATGTTCTTCTTTTCTCTTCTCTCTCAACAATGTTCTCAATGTTCTTCTTTTCTCCTCTCTCAACAATGTTCTCAATGTTCTTCTTTTCCCCTCTCTCAACAATGTTCTCAATGTTCTTCTTTTCTTCTCTCTCAACAATGTTCTCAATGTTCTTCTTTTCTTCTCTCTCAACAATGTTCTCAATGTTCTTCTTTTCCCCTCTCTCAACAATGTTCTCAATGTTCTTTTTCCCCTCTCTCAACAACAATGTTTCTTCTTTTCTTTTCTCTTCTCAACAATGTTCTCAATGTTCTTCTTTTCTTCTCTCTCAACAATGTTCTCAATGTTTTTCTTTTCCCCCTCTCTCAACAATGTTCTCAATGTTCTTCTTTTCTTCTCTCTCAACAATGTTCTCAATGTTCTTCTTTCCCCCTCTCTCAACAATGTTCTTCTTTTCCCCTCTCTCAACAATGTTCTCAATGTTCTTCTTTTCTTCTCTCTCAACAATGTTCTCAATGTTCTTCTTTTCCCCCTCTCTCAACAATGTTCTCAATGTTCTTCTTTTCCCCTCTCTCAACAATGTTCTCAATGTTCTTCTTTTCTTCTCTCAACAATGTTCTCAATGTTCTTCTTTTCTTCTCTCTCAACAATGTTCTCAATGTTCTTCTTTTTTCTTCAACAATTTCTCAATGTTCTTCTTTTCCCCTCTCACAGCAATGTTCTCAATGTTCTTCTTTTCTCCCTCTCTCAACAATGTTCTCAATGTTCTTCTTTTCCCCTCTCTCAACAATGTTCTCAATGTTCTTCTTTTCCCCCTCTCTCAACAATGTTCTCAATGTTCTTCTTTTCCCCTCTCTCAACAATGTTCTCAATGTTCTTCTTTTCTTCTCTCTCAACAATGTTCTCAATGTTCTTCTTTTCTTCTCTCTCAACAATGTTCTCAATGTTCTTCTTTTCTCTCTCTCTCAATGTTCTCAATGTTCTCTCTCAACAATGTGTTCTTCTTTTCTTCTCTCTCAACAATGTTCTCAATGTTCTTCCTTTCCCCCCTCTCAATGTTCTCAATGTTCTCTCAACAATGTTCTCAATGTTTTTCCCCCTCTCTCAACAATGTTCTCAATGTTTTTCCCTCTCTCAACAATTTTTCATGTTCTTCTTTTCCCCCTATCTCAACAATGTTCTCAATGTTCTTCTTTTCCCTTCTCTCTCAACAATGTTCTCTTAATGTTCTTCTTTTTCCCCCTCTCTCAACAATGTTCTCAATGTTCTTCTTTTTTCTCTCTCTCAACAATGTTCTCAATGTTCTTCTTTTCTTCTCTCTCAACAATGTTCTTAATGTTCTTCTTTTCTCTTCTCTCAACAATGTTCTTCTTTTCCCCCTCTCTCAACAATGTTCTCAATGTTCTTCTTTTCTTCTCTCTCAACAATGTTCTCAATGTTCTTCTTTTCTTCTCTCTCAACAATGTTCTTAATGTTCTTCTTTTCCCCCTCTCTCAACAATGTTCTTCTTTTCCCCTCTCTCAACAATGTTCTCAATGTTTTTATTTTCCCCTCTCTCAACAATGTTTTCAATGTTTTTCTTTTCCCCCTCTTCACAATGTTCTCAACTTTGTTCTCTCTCTCTCTCTCTCTCTCTCTCTCTCTCTCTCTCTCTCTCTCTCTCTCTCTCTCTCTCTCTCTCTCTTTCTCTCTCTCTTTCTCTCCTCATTATTCTCAATATTCTTTTGAAAACAAAAATATGCGTCCAAGCTTCATGCTTCCGCACAACCTTTACCATGCAGCGTGTAAGTTAGGATCAAATGACATTACTTACGTTTTGTCCTGTTGTAATTGTGACCTCATACTGGTCCTTGTGTTCCCGGTCCAACATCACTTTTGTATACAATACACTGTTGTAAGTAGAACATATTGACTGATGGTAACAAAGCAAACACCAAAGCATGATAAGCTCCCAATTTGATTTCTATCAGTTGATAACACTCAGATCAGGAGCATAACATGGATACTCTAAACATGATATTCAGTTTGGTAAATTAGTGAAAAATGTTGCATATCAAAGAATATTGAGAACACTCGGACACCAGCGGGCACCAGGGGACCCAAGAGGACCCACGTGGACCCAAGGGGACTCATATGGGCACTAGGGCACCAACGTGGACACAAGGGGACCCACGTGGGCAGAAGGGAATATAGAATTACATCTACCATGTAGAGGTCAAAAACACCATCTAGATGCAAGAGAAAACATCTAGATCTGGATGTAAAACATTTAAAGTGGCAACATTAGAACTTAGCATATGCGTTCCTTCCCCTTCACCGTCTGTGCACAACGTGCGGAAAACCAGCTCCTGTTCCTTGAAGGCCTGGCACGAAAGTGCGCAGCTCTCTTTCGTGGCCGGCGACATTGAGGGACTGTTTTTGTTTGTTGTTGTTGTTGTTGTCTGTTTGCCTGCGCAAGCCACTGTTCATCCAGTATTCTTTTCTCTGTCAACTACGTCTCTTGTGCAACCGTCACTGGTTTATGAATTGGTGATATTTTGGCGTCAACACGCAACGCTGTAATCAACACAGTGTCGGCCGCACACAACTCGAAAAACAGAACGTGCTATCTGCTCACAGCCTGAAATATAGAATGCTTACAGATTTGAAAACAACACAATATGACACCCCTAGAACATAGGACAGCTAGTGGGAATGGCCACGGCATGAATGGGAGCAGACACGAAATCTCGTGCCCCGAGATGAGATGATGTTTGTGATATGTATACTGCAAGCTTATTTTATCTGAAGCAAACTGTCAAATGAGGAGATAAACTATACAGTCCTCATGTCAATTGTCTACTTCTATAAAGACACATATTTCTCATGCAGTGACTCGAAGGGTTCGCCAGGAAACTGATGTTAATGAGTAGCACGAGAACGAGTACTTACTCTGTCCTGATCTCAAACTCTGTGCTTGTTGTGTGAAGTCCTTTAATCTGTCCAGTAGGAAAACAATTCATCATGAAAACGGTTGGAATCCAAAAGCATTGACATGTTTAAAAGAACATTCAAATGTAAGTGATTCTCGAATGCCACATGCTCTGAAATTGTAACATGGTTATGGGTCATTTGTAAGACTTGTGGGCAATATGCCAACAGTGGATTGGAACTCTTGTCTGTGATGTAATCTACTGTTGGTACCCAAAATGTTAATTTTTAGTTGAACGGGGTTTCTTGGATTTGTTCCTGTGTGATTCTCATCCATGAGATGTTACTCTTATAGAATGCACATCTGCAAGGGAAACAGAAAATACAATTAAAAACAAATTCCCAACATTCTCTTTTGTGTACTGCTAATCCTGTTTTATACAAAAATCCCGCCACGCTATGATGTCAGAATGTCTTTTTATTTTTAAAATTATTATTATTATTCACGTTCACCAGCTGTACACGCAGTTCTGGTTGTTCAGCCACTTCTGGAATTTCTTCTGGCTCCAGGACTTGAGTTTACCGTGCACATCTGTTTTCACATCTCTCATATTTGTGTGCAGTCTGATGGTTCCTTGCTGCTCAAGCAGATGCTTTTAAACAACTCAGAAATGTTGATCCTCCTTATGTTGACCAGGCTCTCGACTGGGAACACAGTTTCTAGAAGGACCAATGGATGGCGGAGACAAGTCTTCACCAGTATGTGCCCGGTTTCTCACTTGCGTTATTTAGTGTCTATGCTTCGTCTTTTGTCATTTCACTGATACCAGGTTGTAGGCCAGTGTCATGGTTTTGTCGTCTCACTGATACCAGGTTGTAGGCCAGTGTCATGGTTTTGTCGTCTCACTGATACCAGGTTGTAGCCCAGTGTTGTGGTTTTATCGTCTCACTGATACCAGGTTGTAGCCCAGTGTCATGGTTTTGTCGTCTCACTGATACCAGGTTGTAGCCCAGTGTCATGGTTTTGTCGTCTCACTGATACCAGTTTGTAGCCCAGTTTCATGGTTTTGTCGTCTCACTGATACCATGTTATAGCCCAGTGTCGTGGTTCTGTTGTCTCACTGATACCAGGTTGTAGCCCAGTGTCGTGGTTTTCTATAATTGTCCTGCGCTTCTCGGGTGGCTTGGATGATGGATTTGTTCATCTTTAGCAGGTTTCTACTATACTATTTATCAATCTATTTCTTGATCTTCCTCTCGCCCCCCCCCCCCCCACCCCCCGGTTCTTCTGTAAAGTCTTCTCTGCGCTCCTCAAACTGTAACAATCTTTCTCAACCTTACTCCTATTTTCTCTAATTTACCTGTTGTCATAACATACCCCAATCTTCTCCTTCTCTGAGGTGCTCAGAATTTGGACTGCCTTCTGCTGACTAGAGTAGCAAGCTATTTTTGTGTGAGAAAAATGTATCCAGACATGGTCATTACGATGCTTTCAGCCATTCTTCTCAACCGTTCACTTCATTGTCCACTGATCTATTGACGTTCCCTTTTCCCCGCCTGTATATGATAAACAATTACCACATTTCTGTCTCTTGAAACGTATCTAGCAGAAGAACTCTTGCCAGGAAAGAGGGGCATTTCCTGACCAGCACGATTATGGGCACATTATATAAACGACATCTTGGGTGAGAAATGCCCGATACCGGAGATCTGGCGAATGACCGAGTTTCTTTCAGGCGGGTTGTGGTGACAGCGACGTTCTGAATAAGAGCCTTCTAAATGATGATGATATGAGGACAGGTTACGTCTTCTTTTTCTACTGCCTTTCTAGCTCCCAGTGGAGCATAGAACCTCACCCAACTCGCGCCAAGTCCTTCTATCTTTCGATATCGCAGGCAGCTCTCCCCATGTCCTACCTATCTTATTTAACTTAACTTTCTAGATTCCTTCTCCATGTGTGTGTGTGTGTGTGTGTTTTTTTTTTGTGTGTGTGTGTGTGGGGAAGGGGTTAAGGGGGGGGGGGTGGTCTTCCTTGATTTCTATGTCCTTGTGGGCTCCATCGCAAAGACAATCTAGTTACATTGTTCTCAGGTTTTATTCACGTGTGTCCTATTCAAAGCCAGCATGTTTTCTTAACCTCGTTGTCTACTGGAATAAGTTAGGTAAATCTAATAAACATACGTTTATAGTCTCATATGAGAAATTTACGTTGCACAGTACTTTTCTTCAACTGATCTTACCAGTCGGCTCTGTGGCTAAGTCGATGAGAACGCTTCGTAATGCCGGGGTACCGGGCTTGATCCCAGCTGCGGGCCATGCGCCTTGTGTTGGTTTCAACAGTGGTATCAGGGGGCCGACCGTCCAGGGGGCAATGGCAAACTACTGGACGTAAATTTGCCTAGAGAAACCACACAATAGCCAGGGGCTGCTGGGGTTGGTTCTGCAACGTCCTGTAAAGGATACGCAGCTTACCTTTCCCTTGATCTTCCCAAGGCATTACAATTGTTAGTGTACCAGTGACATTTAGGTAGTCTCTGTTGCGATGGCGCCTAGACGCCCGCAGGTCGGTGGTTCGCGTCCTGACTGAGCTGGACTTTTCCCTTGACTCCCAGGTCGACCCAGCCTTAAGTGGGTACCAGGTGGAGTCCTGTGAAGTAAAGGCGGTCGGCGTGATGGTGACCACATCCCCCACCAACTTCCGATTGGTCTATAAAAATTGAGGTCTAGCCCTATAATCCCAATACGCCTAAAGGCGTGGAAAAGGTACCGTTACCAATGACTTTTGCATGGCAGTAGATACAGGACTGGAGTGGTTTCGTCGTTTGATGAGAATGGATTCAATGATGCCAACAACGACTCCAGAACATCACAGCATACAGCGTAACCGAGCATGCCTTAGCTCAAAAAAGTTATCATCTGTTAACCCGCAAAGCCCAGCGGTACAAAGCAAAATATTCGACAAACAAGAAAATAGGATAACGAGGACACTGTGGATTTGAATTCATGAGTCTGCAAAGTTGACATAGGATTAAGTGACTTTTCTACGTGCCGTACTGAGAGCGACGTTCTGCAAAAGACCTGATGATGATGATGATGGCTATGATAATGATACTCACAGGCAGTGGCTTCACCATAGTTCCAATGGGCACATTCTCTGGTATAGTGACGCTGTTTTCAACGACATTTCCCGAGGGAACAACAGCTATCGTCAGTGGCACAAAGCTACACCTGATGTCAGTTGGCACAGAAAGTCACAGTAAATGTGAGCAGACAAAGGGAGACAAACATAAAGTCAGAGCGACAGTAAATGTGAGCAAACAAAGGGAGACAAACGGAAGTCAGAGCGACAGTAAATGTGAGCAAACAAAGGGAGACAAACGGAAAGTCAGAACGACAGTAAATGTGAGCAAACAAAGGGAGACAAACGGAAAGTCAGAACGACAGTAAATGTGAGCAAACAAAGGGAGACAAACGGAAAGTCAGAACGACAGTAAATGTGAACAAAGAAAGGGAGACAAACGGAAAGTCAGAACGACAGTAAATGTGAACAAACAAAGGGAGACAAACGGAAAGTCAGAGCGACAGTAAATGTGAGCAAACAAAGGGAGACAAACAGAAAGTCAGAGCGACAGTTAATGTGAGCAAAAAAGGTAGACAAACAATAATCATATTTATGTGTTTAATTCGCGTTCACCGGCTGTAAAGTCCAGTGAAAAGATATGGCTGTTTATCCACTTCAGAACTCTAGTCTTGTCCCAGACTATCAGTTTTGGGTGCCCAGCCGTCTTACAGATATGAATTAATTGTATGCAGACTGTACGTTCCATGACACTCAGGTAGATGCACTGCGACTTCCAACGCAACTGCTAGTAGGTCGAGGAATCTAGTCATCTCATTGTGAGAAACAATTTTTCATTATTTTTAAACCCCATCCTGGCTCTTGTCAGGGACCGCAATATAGCCCGGCCATAAATATGGTCTAATGGCTGAACGCGGTTTCCGGGACCTCTCCACGGGTGATCCTCATCCACATGGTGACACTTTGTGTCATCGGGTGTTTGTTGCTTGTGTGATGTCCTAGCGGGATAAAATGTACTACTACTACTAAGTTAGTCGATTCGGTATTCTTTGTCTCCATGTGGGATGGGATTTTTTTTTTATTATTTGAAACCCCTTTCTGGCTTCTGTCGGGGGCCCTGAATATAGCCGGGGCACAGATACGGCCTAGCCATAGATATGGCCCAACGGCTGAAAGGGGTTTCTGGGACCTCTCCACGCGTGATCCTCATCCGCATAGTGGTACTTTGTGTCACCGGGTGTTTTCTGCTTGTGTTATATCCTGGTTGGGTACAACTACCTATATATCTTAGTGGATTGTTACGACACTTTTGTAAAGAGACAGTGGGTCTATTATGTTTGTCCCCATAACCAATAGGGAGTCCCCGTGACCGAGCCGCTCGCCGCGAATCGGAAGGTCGTGGGTTCGCTCCCTGGAGGAGCCGGACTATTTTCAAAAATGACCTTGGCTCCCAGGTCGACCCAGCCTTGAGTGGCTACCGGGTGCAGTCCCGGGAAGTAAAGGCGGCCTGCCTGATGCTAACCACATCACCCATCTTGTGCCGATTGGTCTATAAAAATATAGGTCTAGCCCTATAATACCCTATACGCCTAAAGGCGTGAAAAAGGGGTCCTTTACTTTTTTACTTTACATAACCAAAAGGAGAGTTATTGAAAAAAAAAAAAAATTAATAAAAGAAATATTCACTAGCCATTCGGATGTTCAATGGGCCAAATGTTAGTGGATATAATGTTTGTTTTACTGCGAATTCTAAAACACGACCGGCTCCAGCTGACGTCATCGAGTCGTGTCCGGCTAACGATGCGTTAACGCAGCGGTTCTCAAACTGGGTGCCGAGGCATAAACAATAATCAAGAAAAGACGGCTAAAAATTGTGAAATTATTAAAGAAGGTATGTAGATATGTAAAAGATAAAATTTAATTTGCCATCCCTCGCCACTGTCAAAAAAAAAAAAAAAAAAGTTTATTTCTTGTTTGAGAACCGCTGCGTTAATGCATTGTAAGCCCGACCTTGATACGTCAGCAGCACGGCCCGTCAGCTGAAGCCCGTCGTGCCTAACCCATGAGAAATCCAAGCAAGACTAATCCAAGAGCAGATAATTTATGCGGAGATCCTGTTATCTACTTGTCGTACTGACGAATTGATGAAAGACAATTTCTCAGCATTCGCCAGACTCGGCAATCGAATTTAAGTTCAGCTGGGCTTGGCCAGTGTCTCCGATACTGGTTTGAAAAGAAAACTTTGGTAAATGGATAAACTGCTTAGATGAGCTTTGAAAATTCCCCACAAATGCTACTTTTTTTTTTTTTTTTTAAAAGAGATGCTAACTATACTAAGAGAAACATAAACAGCAAATCGTCATCATCAAGCACCATGTCGTTTGACGTCAGCAATTATGCCTGTCCACAATCTGCAATTTTCAGCTGTCTTTGTCACTTCGTATTTTGACATCTCTGCATATTATGATTTTTTTTTTTTTTAAACGTATCCAGAAACCATGAGTTGTAAACCCTTTGGCTCGGTACTATGGATATCGCAACCCTTCGGCATTGATTCCATTATAGGTACCGTTAATCTGGAGAAATGTGGCTTTTCTGCGCTACCCCCGAGAGTGAACCTTTCCAGTGACCTAAAGGAGTTCGTCACCCGGCCGCCGCGAAAGTCAGGTTTAACCAACTTCGCTAGAGAGCCGGGCTGCATATTATGATAAAAGGATGTCAAGAATAGTATCGAGTTATCTTTCTTTGTCTATCTTTCGTCAGATCTTTCCAGTGCTTACAACATGTTCCAGTTTCCTTCTTCTCCCCCCCCCCCCCCCCCCCCCAAAAAAAAAAAAAAATTCAAAAAAAAAAAAAAAAAGATTGCCTTTTCTGATGTTTGTGATAAGTTGTCGCATTTTTTCGGAACATGAAGGTTGCACTATTTGGCTGTTCAAGGAATTCTTCTGTAAAACCACATTTCTGAGGCCTAAAGAAATTGTTTGGTTTCTTTATTAACAGTCCAAGATTCACAGCTATATGTTAAAAGTGGCTCTATGCATGGTGTGAGAATTCTTTTGCTAACCTGAAATGACATGGATAATTGCATAATATCTTCTTCATTTTGTAACATGCAGTATTGGTTAATCCTCTTATGTTCTTTATCTATGTGATACATTTTCCGTCGGAACACAGGCAGTGAAACTGAAACATTGAAACATAAACTAGTCAAACATAAAATAGTCGATGTTCCCTTTACCGTGAGTTGGAATCCGTGGGCGAGTCACAAGCGGTGACCACCCAGGAACATGTTGCTCCTGGCGGCAACTGCTGTTCTGTGGTCAGGATGCCAGTTGTTAGATTTAGAGCTACACTGGAGCAGTCAGAAGGCCCACTGATGAAGGTGAGACTGTACTTGACGAGGGCATTATCGCCTCTGTCTCCATCGTGGGCTAATACCTGCCAGTTCAACATTAGTAATACATTCAGTGATATCTGGATAGCAAATGGACACACTAAAGGCATCACTTAAAGTCTTTAATATAAACCAAAACACTTGGGAGGATGCTGTACAAGATCCTATAATATACCAAACGCTCGTGCGGGGAGGCAGACCTATAAAAATTGCAGCTGAACAAGAGCAGTCAGCTGGACAGAGCAGGCAGCTGGACAGAGCAGGCAGCTGGACAGAGCAGGCAGCTGGACAGAGCAGGCAGCTGGGCAAAGCGGGCAGCTGGGCAAAGCGGGCAGCTGGATAGAGCGGGCAACTGGACAGAGCAGGCAGCTGGGCAGAGCGGGCAGCTGGAGAGAGCAGGCAACTGGGCAGAGTGGGCAGCTGGACAGAGCAGGCAGTTGTACAGAGCGGGCAGCTGGACAGAGCAGGCATTTGTACAGAGCGGGCAGCTGGACAGAGCGAGCAGCTGGACAGAGCGGGCAGTTGGACAAAGCGGGCAGCTGGACAGAGCGGGCAGCTGGACAAAGCGGGCAGCTGAACAGCGCGGAAAGTTGTACAGAGCGGGCAGCTGGACAAAGCGGGCAGCTGGACAGAGCGAGCAGCTGGACAGAGCGGGCAGCTGGACAAAGCGGGCAGCTGAACAGCGCGGGCAGTTGTACAGAGCGGGCAGCTGGACAGAGCGGGCAGCTGGACAGAGCGAGCAGCTGGACAGAGCAGGCAGCTGGACAAAGCGGGCAGCTGAACAGACAAAGCAGGCAGCTGGACAGCGCGGGCAGTGGACAGAGCGGGCAGCATGGGTAGCAGAGCGTGACAGAGCAAGCCAGCGTGACCGAGCGGGCAGCTGAACAGCGCGGGCAGTTGTACAGAGCGGGCAGCTGGACAGAGCGGGCAGCTGGACAGAGCGGGCAGCTGGACAGAGCGGGCAGCGGGACAGAGCAAGCAGCGTGACAGAGCAAGCAGCGTGACAGAGCGGGCAGCTGGACAAAGCGGGCAGCTGAACAGCGCAGACAGTTGTACAAAGCGGGCAGCTGACAGCGGGAGCTGGACGCGGCAGCTGGACAGCGCGGGCAGCTGGACCAAGAGGGCAGCGCGGGACAGAGCTAGTGGTACAGAGGCCGGCAGCTGGACAGCGCGGGCAGTTGTACAGAGCGGGCAGCTGGACAGAGCGGGCAGCTGGACAGAGCGGGCAGCTGGACAGAGCGAGCAGCTGGACAGAGCGGGTAGCTGGACAAAGCGGACAGCTGAACAGCGCGGGCAGTTGTACAGAGCGAGCAGCTGGACAGAGCGGGCAGCTGGACAGAGCGGGCAGCTGGACAGAGCGGGCAGTTGTACAGAGCGGGCAGCTGGACAGAGCGAGCAGCTGGAGAGCGGGCAGCTGGTAGCTGGCTGGACAGAAGCGGACAAGCGGACAGCTGAACAGCGCGGGCAGTTGTACAGAGCGAGCAGCTGGACAGAGCGGGCAGCTGGACAGAGCGGGCAGCTGGACAGCAGCTGGACAGAGCGGGCAGTTGTACAGAGGGGGCAGCTGGACAGAGCGGGCAGCTAGACAGACCTGTATAATAGGCCCTGTACCAGCAGACACTGCTCCCTGCACTCGTTATCCTAGATCTGTCCGGGCCTGTATCATGCTTTCGAGTGACCTCCTGACTAACAGACTTGTTAACCATAGTTTCATGACTCGTGATAGAAAGCGATTGACGACTAACATATGGATAGTTAATCAGTATATATATATAAAAATATATATATATATATATATATATATATATATATATATATATATATAATATAATATATATATATCTATATATGTATTGTGTGTGTGTGTGTGTGTGTGTGTGTGGGGGAATTTTATATGGGAGAAAAGTGCATATTCAAATTGTCTAAAAATGGGTCACATTTGTATCTGCAATAGAACCCAGTATTGCGGAATTACGAAGTGCTTTCGCATTGCCTAAGCCACTGACGCAGACGAATTAGAACAGAACCAGGTCATTTGTCCATGCAGTACATACGCACTGCAACTCTATTTGGTAATATAGTTTAGGTATCTCTTTATCAACAGACTTCAACCATTGCTCAGAGGAATTCTTCAGGATGTCAGTCATCAGTCAGCATGTCCCTCTCTCTAGGGCACTCCTAAAAGTCTGTCTATCTCTAGACTATTATCCAACCCTATGTGCTTTCATTTCGAACGTATCCTCAATGTCCTGTATCCACCTTGGCGGTGGCCGGTCTCTGTTTCGTTTTCCAGAATCACCGTTCTCTCCAGACCACCATGTCTCTTGACATGTCCAAAATACATTAGTTTTCGGGAGAGGATGCTGTGTACGAGCCAGTTCTTCATGATATTCAGGTCATGCGGTATGCTGACGCTTTACTTCTTCTTAGTCCATGGTACTCTAAGAAGGTTTATATAGCATTTCAGTTCAAAAGCTTCTATTCTTTCCTCTACGACTTACAACCATAAGATACATTATTTTTTAAAGTTTTACTTTAAGTTGCTTGCAAGTGCTGTAAAACAGGTTCTTCATGTTGTTTAGCCCTTGCATTGCTATAGAAAGTGTTTTTCTGATTTCTTTTGCCGTAGGCAAAATATGTGACATTCTTAATCTCCTCGCTGTCGATTCTAAAAGATGCAAGTAGTTGGTGTCCTGTATTCATTTTGGACATTATTTTGGTGTTTCTTTGCCCCAGAAATAGATTCTCTTCCTCTCTGCGTTTTCTGACAACCAAATTAATTTTTCTAAGCTTTGTAAACCGTTGGAAAGGAGAACTGTGTCGTTTGCATATTTAAGCATTCAGGATGTATGTATAGACCATTATTTGTTCTTTTTCTCCAGAGGAAGTTAACAATCATACTCTGCAACATTGTTCCGTGTGAATTCCTCATCAAAATGTAACTTTTTTGCTTCTGATACCAATAACCGACGCTATGAGCAACAGATATTAGAACATGCCTTACCTGGCCAATGACATAGCGTCCACTGGTGTTGCTAGGCAGCGGAAAAGTGTAACTAGGTGCATTAAACTCTGGACTATTGTCGTTGACGTCTGTGATATAAATGGTGACATTCCCAACACAGTTGGTAGTGTTAGTACAGGGTTGTCCCACAATTTGGCGTCTTTCCTTTAAATAGAACTGGAATAAAATGGTCACTTGTATTTAATTTATATAAATAAACATGTAAATATTAGTTTGTTAGTGACAGCTAATCTCCGAAAGTTCTTTAGTGATTGATTCCAAAATAAAAACTAATTGAAGAAAAAAGTTGCATTCGAATACCCGCGTGTTTTTATATAATAGTGTCGCACAAAGCACAAACTACATAGCACTAGCGATGATCACAACGGCATCTTGGGTTTGTTTTCCGACAAACCTTGTTTTTTCGTTGCCACGTTCCAGGTGCGGGCTTTTATTGGAAGGCCATTTGACTGTTGACCTCATAAATCTACCTGTTGCTGTATGATATAATAAATTATTTCGAAGAGTTGTTAAAAGACTGTATGGAAATGTAAAGATTGAGGATTAAAACAAGTTGACACTAAAGTTGTGGGAATATAAAGAGAGACGTTGAAAGACTGTATGGGAATGAAAAGATATGGGAATGAAAGATTGCTAATTACTGAGAACTATTATCACAGCATTCCAGATAGATCTGTAGGTTCTCCAAACTTTTCCTCGATAGCTGCACAAGGGGAAAAACCCACTAATGACGCACGTTCAGTGGTGTTTAATAAAGCGACTCTTGCCCTTGATGCTGCAGGCTACACTCCCGAATCCACCACCATCGACACATTCTTCTTCGCCATATGCATTTCACTAAACATCAAAGACATCACTACTGCCCATGTCGGGTAATAACAGAAACTGTTAAATGAGAGAGCTTAAAACATGATTTTACACTTTTCTTTTTTTTTTAAATTATTTATATGGTAATAACGCTACATCAATTTTCTGATTTTTAAAATTTTTTTTTTTTTTTTGGGTGGCAGATTACAATTTTTTTTAATTTAAACGTAGAGTAGTAAACTTGATTTTGAGATCTTCAAAAAAAAAAAAAAAAAAAAAAAAAAAAAAAAAAAAAAACAACAACAAGCTTTAGCATGTGATATTCAAATATATTTTTAAAAGTCTGAATAATACACTTTAAACGACCACTAATATAAGGACACAATTATATGTTGCGTGTTCTAGAGTCGGTCAACCAGTCTATCTGCGCAGACAAATACTGTGCAATTAACAATATAAGAAATATGAGCTTTTTGTTTTGATTTCTTTTCGGTTAGCCAGACTGGGACACAGCAACGCGTGGCCGGGTACAGCTAGTGAAAGATGAATGTGTCTCATCTCATCTCATCTTAATCCTCTTGTTCCGTTTATGTAACTTCGTAAATTGGGATTTCCAGGGACTCTGTAGTTCCCTCTGTCCATCGCTTGCATGGTCGGCCTTTTCTTAGCTTCCCGTCTGGTTTGTACCTTATGGCTTCCTGTGGCCAAATAATATAACTTTCTTCTATTCAAATCCAGTGCTGCTGCTACTTCGATTTAGTTCTGATATCATCGTTTATGATCTTATCTCTTTTGTTATGTTGAGAGCCCTTTATAGGAATCTCATTTCAGTTGTAGTTTTTCTTTTCTCTTTTTCTGTCGTTGTCCAAGTCCTGACACTGGTGGGGTTGGCAAGAAGATTGTGTCATAGGAGTGCTCTTTTGATTTCTATTGATATGTTTGTTTCTTTGTATCTGCTCGGCTCTATAATTGACAATTCACGTGATAATGGTGGTAGAGAGTAGTTCCACAGCTAGATGTCTTTATATATATATTATATATATATATATATATATATATATATCTATAGTATATATATATATATATATATCTTTCAGGCATAGGAGTGCATGCACACCTGGCTCGTAAAGCCGTTACAAGTGAACCTTTTATCACTTCTTCGGTAGCTGAACTGGTTATCTGAGACCCGCCTTGTTCGTTTGTCTTCCAGAATGAGATTTTTAAATTTCAGGATGGTGTGGTAAACGTATAGGTAGCAACCCAAAGGGGACAAACTGATGGAGTCATCGACTGGTAACTTATAAACCATTATCGCTTCTGAAGAGCTACTAGCCAAACGGCTAAAAACACTAGGCCTGCCTATGTGAAGCCCAGATTAGAATTCTCGTTAAGGGTGTAATTTGGTAGTGTGGGAAGGGAGGGGAGGGGGATTAAAATCCTAGCTCGCACAGTTCATGGCCAGAGAACTAGCCATGCCACCCTAAATCTCCAGACACCAAGACCACCCCCCCTCCCCCCCCCCCCACCCACCCCTTTGCATACGACACATAAATGGTAGACACGTGCAGTAAATGGTTGTTTTTCCCCCTTTGTTTGCAGGCTTGGGGCAAATTATCCTGCGCTCATTCTATAGCCCACTGGGCACTGAATGTGAAATATGGTCAACATCGTCTATCCCGCTTTGATATCCCAGGACATCTGGTTCCAATTTTCCCTCTGTGCACTTCTTCTACTTCTTGGCGTTCACCAGCTGCAAACTCTAACAAACTGTTTTGGTTGTTCGTCCACTCCTAGAATCTGGCGGGTAAAGTAAATTCCGTTTTTCCACAGTCTCAAGCGCATATAAGGCTAGACTTGTATTTTATAGACCAATCGGCATTCATTGAGTGATGTGGTCAATGTCACGCAGGCTGCATTTTCTTCTCATGACTTTACTTGGTACCCATTTAAGGTTGGGTCGATGTTATGTTATGTTATATTATCACAATCTACGTGAATGCACACTGGGCATTTCCATGCGTACTCAGTCCTCCGATGCATCAGCCAGTCCAAAGAACTTCTACTAGTTGTTCCCATGAAAAGCTGGTTCTACTGTCTCCTATCTCGGCCTCGAAGACTGCATAGACGTGCTTCACCATGCTTTACTCCCATGTCACGCAATCATTTTAGTATCATTATCCACAAGCCCAATCTGTACAGCATTGACGATACCTGCTCTGTACATGCTTCTTCCCACATGCGTTGGCCCACACGCTCATGACCCTTAACGCCCGCTGACCAAGTGTGTGGATCCAGGTGAGGGAGGATAAGTGCGAGTTCCAAAGGCTGGGTCGATATGGGGGCCAAGGTCATTTTGAAAAAAAAAAGACCGGCTCCGTCCCTGCATGTGGTCTTGTTCTCAAATTTGAGTTATGCGTGCACATCCGTTTTACAAATCTAGTTTATTTGTGTACAGGCGGTTTGTTTCTCGTCTCTCAGACATCTGCACTCCGACTTCAACTCAAATGTTAATCCAGTCTAAGCTGGCCAGCTCCAAAAGCCCCCCCCCCCCCTCCCCCACGGCCCTTACATCTTCGCTGACCGCAGTGTTAGTCCTGGTGCTATACCACCACGTGTGGCTCAGGTCAGAACATCTGCTGCTTCCCACGTGGTGCACAAGAGGAACAATACTGACAAGAGCTGGACACGACTTGGTTAATATAAAGAGAAACAAGAAGGTGAAGATTAACATAGACACAAAAAGGTGAAGAGAGAGAGATAAAGTTCAACGGACCGATGCTACGTTTTTGAGCAGAACCCCCCCTCCCCCCCCCCCGAGGGCTGATGGCCCCTCGCTCGCTGTCATTCATATTTTAAAGTCAATAATAGATAGCCTTAAGGAGACTAATCCTAATTTCCAAGCACAATAATAATAGTGCCATCAATGGTAAATATAAATATTATATTTAGAACTAGCTGTACCCGGCCACGCGTTGCTGTGGCATAGTTTGGCTAAATGAAAATGAAAGAAAATAGAAATCGCACGTGTCTAATACAATCATTGTCTGCTCAGATATAGAGATAGTCTTTGATCCCCGCCCCCCCCCCCCCCCCCCCACCACCACAAATAAATCCACCTACTACTCTCTCCCTCATCAAAGGTTTTTGGAAAAGAAAGACAATGGAAATCGCACGTGTCTAATATAGTTAATGTCGCAATCATTTTCTGCACAGATATAGAGATAGTCTGGTTTTCCAACTTTAGAACACGCACCTTATAAGTGTGTCTTTATATTTGTGGTCGTTTAAATGGTGTTATTAGCACAGTAACAAAAATGGTTATTTGGTTATCACATGCCAAAGCTGTTTGCATTTTTAATAGGAGATGGAAGTAAAGCTACAACTGTACTTGTGAATAACAAAGTAAGTCGTAAAAAATAGAAAAGCGGAGGTAGCGTTAGTAAAATATAAACAAATTAAGTAATAAAAACTTGAAAATCACGTGTAAAGCTCTTTAAGTTCTCTTAAATTTAAGTCATTACCCCCTCCCCTCTTCCACCGACTACTGCTCTCTCCCTCTCCAAAGGATTTGAAAATGGCGTTATTTTTTTGTTGCTGTAACTGACATTGACATCCCTGTCCATCCGGACTAAAATGGGGAGCAGAAATTGTAATAGGTAGTGAATGGGGCTAGTGTAATATTTACCACATCATCATTCAAGTACCAGTACAACTACTAACACGACCACCACCACAGTAGCTAAAATAATGTCACTGCTATCTGCGTTACCATCGGAGTATACAGAGAGTCGTGAGCCAGAAGATTTGGTTCCGCATGGCTAGTGCTGTCGCCACAGACTGGTCAGGTTAGGATGTATAATTTCACTTGCCGACAAAAGAACGCCATAACCTTACCGGCGGTCTTTATATGAGAGCACTATGGTGTAACAGCCCAACCACAACTATTACTGCTGCTGCTACTTTAAGTGGGTAAAGCAGTTACTGTGACTTAAAGCTCTCTCGGTTAATAGTTTGCCCCCCCCCCCCCCCTAAATTCACCGACAACTCTTTCCCCCATTGAAGTAGTTGGGAGAAAAAAATTACACTTGAAAAGCAAATGAACACAGGAAAAAAACACCATAATTAGGAAATGAACGCCATTGTAAACAACACAGCCTAAAATTCCAACGCAATGGAAATAACTAAATCTAAATGAAAATAAATGGAAAGCTATGAAATTTCAGCGTAACCATGCAATCGGAAAGTTTAAAAATGCAATCATAAGTATGCGAAATGGTCAAATTTAATTATCAAATAGTTTACCCATTTACTTGTCTTTTTTTTTTTAAGTATTAAGGCCAACATTGCTAGTGCTATCACCACGACAGAGCAGATGAGGATATTATTTTAGTGCAGGGTAAAAAAAAAAATTAACTACTGCAGATTCGAACCCTGGTCTCCCGCACAGGATCCCAGTGTTCTAACCATTCGACCAAGCAGCCACTTAATCGGAGCACCAAAAAGAGAACTAAACTATTAGAGATGTGTGTCCCTACTACTGTGTCCGGATTATAACACAACTCAAAACCGCAGGCAATTGTTTTCTCGTAGACAGATACTCCAGATATATTAATGAAACGGCACAACAATAGAAATCGCACGTGTCTAACACGGTTAATGAAGTTAATGTCGCAGTCAATGTCTGCGCCGACGTCGAGATAGTCCTGATGCCCCCCCCCCCCCCCCCCCCCCCCCCCCCCCCCCCCCCCCCCCCCCCCCCCCCCCCCCCCCCCCCCCCCCCCCCCCCCCCCCCCCCCCATCGAAGGTTGTTTGGAGAAAAAAAAAACCAGAAAATAGAAATCGTGTTTAATATGGTTATTGTGGCAAATATAGAGATAGTCTTGTTTGCTGTACCACGACCTACTCTATGTATTAGAGAAGGCGTTGGCTGCACGTAACTCGCCGGCGAATGGTGGAAGCCTTGCGTTCTGACAACGGCGCATGCGCAATTACTAACGTGGCTATAATTAGAAATCACTAAAATTATAAATATTAGTTTCGAATGGCATAAATTGTCGCAACTATCTATAACAATGACAGGTTGAATTTCAAACCATGATGGTTCAACATCCGGTATCAAAACAAACATATCCTGAAAATTTCAGCTAAATCGGTTCAGTAGTTTCCGAGTCTATATAAACAAACACACAAACATTGATTTTTATATATATAGATCATGCATTAAAAAAAAAAATAACACCTCTAAACTGAATTTCTTTTTTATAGTTAATGTATGAGGCTTAGCGTTCTTGCTAAGTTATTGATAGGAGATGGCCACTTAGTTCTGTTGGAGGCGGGACTGGGCGCTAAAGTGGCCTGCGCCCTCAGCATCTGGCGCCCTAGAGCACACTGTTAAACGGGATAACTGCGTGTAATATGAAAGTACTTCTCACCTGAACTACGGCCTGATCCTGTCCTCGCAGGGCCGTGCTGTTAGCCACTATCAGGACTGACTTGTTTGGTGCGGTTCGGAACGCTCCCACACTGTCACTGGTGATGATGAAGTCAAGCAGCGAGTTGTCTCCCTGGTTATTGCGACATTGAACAAACATTAGAGATACCATATTGTATTGTATTACTGTAGCGCTGAAAAACAAAACCATTTCTTTAGAAAGGAAACATGTGTCGGTGCAGCGTACTGTTGCATCATCATCATCTTCATCATCATCATCATCATCATCATCATCATCATATCATCATCATCACCGTTTGTATGTTGTTAGACGTTGCCATGACTTGCTACCGATTTCACCACTCCGCTATATTACATGCAATTCTCTGAAGATTCAATTGCCAAGACTCTACTTCAAAGAACATTGGGGGCGGGGGGAAGGGGGGGGGGGGTAGTCAAAGAAGAAGAGGGCAAACAAAGAACCTTAAATGACAACATCAAGAAATGGACAGGACTCAGTTTTCATACACTTATTCATCAAGCGGAAGACAGGGAAAGTTGGCGGGTTTTATGTGCTAGTGCTTCAATCGATGTACCTCCACCACCCTAATAGGTCAAAGGTTATGTTATATCGTTATATTATGTTATGCAGTTCTCTTGATTTCTGATATGGAGTTCAGCCCAGCATTTTTAACCTTTTGTAACAATGTTCTTCTTAAAGTTTCTTTTAGACCTTCTCTTTTTCTCAGACCTTTTGTTTTCCATTTCAGTGCCTGTTCTGTAATTCTTAGCTCACTCATATTGTGCCCAACATATCTCCACCTTCTCTGTCTTATTGCTGTCGATACATGTATTTGCGCAGATTTTATCTGATCTCCTCACTTGTTTTAAATTCATCCCATTTTAGGTTAATGATTTTTTTCAGACATTAATTTTTAAATGCATTTAACTTTCGTTCCACATCTTTAGTTGTTCTCTAACTTTCGCTGGTAAATGTTATAACTGAAATAACATTAGAAATGAAGATTCGTAACTTGGTCTTAAACCTTTACTGTTTCATACCGCCAAAATAAAGCTCTTGGAACATATACAACTTTAAGTGTTTACAACCGGTGAAAGCTCAGAAGAAGATGAAGCAATCACCTCATCCTGGTCTTCTCCAGAGAGGTCCAAGACGTAACTTCCGTCAGGAGCGTTCTCCATGATGGTCACAGGAAGCTGTTTGATGAAGACGGGCCGGTTATCGTTGACGTCATCAACCAGCAGACTCAGTGTGGCCGTGGCTGTCTTATAGGCCACATCTTTTTGTGAGGCCTGCAATACACATTGCATGATTAAAACAAATGAAGTTTAACAAATGGAAGTTTTGATACAGCATCCCCAGGTCCATAAGACTATCCCAATCAGCACAAAGAGACATCTTAAGCAATAACCTCAACTCCTGGTACCAGACATGGTCACTCACAACAAAGAGGTAAAAGAAAATTAGTAACTTCGGAAATGAGATGTCTGGAAGGGCGACCATCTCCAGAAATGAGATCATAAGAGAACAAGTCGGCACAGAACCAATTCTGGATTACATACAAAGACACGGGTGAAATGGTTTTGCCCACTTTAGAGAATGCCTTGTGACACCATCATCAAAGCAGCAGAGAGAAGTGTGGCCGTAGGCACGTCTTGTAGGCCACACAAGATTTAACATGTGAGAGAAACCTACAACAGCACGATTGTGACTATGGTCGAGGCAGCCAGATGATTTAAACAACAAATGCAGTTCGACACCCACAGCGGTAAAAGTTTTGAGAAGAAGAAGAAAGAATCCCTGGGTGTCATCTCATCTAAATCAGTCGCTCTCTCTCACTCTTTCACTCTCTCTCCCACTCTCTCTTACTCTCTCTCTCACTCTCCGCTCTCACTGTCTCTTTCTCAATCTCTCTCTCACTCCCTCTCACTCTCTCTCTCTCTCTCACTCTCTCTCACTCTCTCTCTCTTTCTCAGTCTCTCTCACTCTCTCCATCTCTCTTCCACTCTCTCCCACTCTCTCTCACTTTCTCTTTCTTACTCTCTCTCGCTCTCTTTCTCACTCTATCTCACTCTCTCTCACTGTCACTCTCTCTCACTCTCTCCCAATCTCTCTTACTCTCTCCCACTCTCTCCTCATTTTCTATCTCACTTTCTCTCTCTCTCACTCTCTCTCTCTCACTCTCTCTCTCTCTTTCTCTCTCTCTCTCACTCTCTCTCACTCTCTCTCACTCTCTCTCTCACTCTCTCTCTCACTCTCTTTCTCACTCTCTCTCTCACACACACACACTCTCTGTCCAGATCTACTAGCTGCCTCTAAAGAAGTGGTCTATAACCTGGAAGTCACGTCCGCGACCCCGTCCCAGAGTTCGTGAACAGGTTTTAAGGGAGCGTCAGGTAATTCTGACATTGAGTGCATTTGTAATAATCTGTTATATTATTATTTTAGTTCGATTTAAATAAAAAAATAAAGGTTTAAAAAAAAAAAAAAACTTGTTCATTGAAAAAAAAAAGGCCAAGAAAATTTTTTGTTTGTTTTCGTAAGCAGCTTGTGCATCTACAGTTTAAAAATATAATTAATTTCATATCACAGGCATTTATAGATTACGATCACATTCTGGCCAAAACGTATCTCCATACTTTCCGTTTCCTTTGTTGCAAACTCTACTGACCTCCTCTTTGTAATTAATCACATGTTGTTATGTTAGGGCAGCGGGAAGGGGGGAACGTAAATGCAATAGAGCGTTGGAGATCTGGCCATTAACTCAAGTGGGACGTGGGGAGTCTTCTCCTACACTCAAGTGGGACGTGGGGAGTCTTCTCCTACACTCAAGTGGGACGTGGGGAGTTTTCTCTTACACTAAAGTGGGACGTGGGGAGTCTTCTCCTACACTCAAGTGGGACGTGGGGAGTTTTCTCCTACACTCAGGTGGGACGTGGGGAGTCTTCTCCTACACTCAAGTAGGACGTGGGGAGTCTTCTCCTACACTCAAGTGGGACGTGGGGAGTCTTCTCCTACACTCAAGTGGGACGTGGGGAGTTTTCTCCTACACTCAGGTGGGACATGGGGAGTCTTCTCCTACACTCAAGGTGGGACGTGGGGAGTCTTCTCCTACACTCAAGTGGGACGGGTGTGTCATAGAGTTGATTGAGAGTACACGAGCCAGAAGGTTGTGGATAGACATGACTACGAACGCCACACGACATAGACTTATAAGAAGAAGATTGAAAAAAGGAATACTTTGCCTATTTTTTTGCAAACGTGCGTCGCGTGATTTTAGTTTTTTTGTTTCCCTTGCTGTTAAGTTAGACATTATCGATTGTATCTTAAAAAGTATAAACAATATTTCTAATTTTAGACTTCCCCTTTTTTTTGTGTTGTAAATGTTTTAAACATACATCGCTATACATTAGAAACATTAAGAAAGTACGGCTCTGAACTAGAAGGTCATCAAATATGAAAAAGAAACTGAGTGTTAATAGAACTCTCGCATAACCGGCTGTCGTTATCTGACCTACCCTTTCGCCACACTAGGCCGGATATTGCAGTCTACTATATTTTAAATCTATTTTTTCTTAAATTGCTGTTTATCATCATCGTCTTCAATATTAATATCACGATTTTCGTTTTGTGTTATTGTGTCTCATATTTCGTTCTCTCATATATTTCTTTCTATCCCGTGAAATCCCTTCGATATGGTGGATTGAATCTAAGCCACCAACATTCGTCTCTCTCCTCAACAGCTGTTTTAGGTTTTCATTTTACTTGCTATCCGCACATTATTATTATTATTATTATTATTATTATTATTATTATTATTATTATTATATTATTATTATTATTATTATTATTATTATTATTATTATTAAACAGCACCTGTCTTGGAAGCTGAAATATTTTAGTCATATCAAGCGCCATGGCGGATTCGAAAAACATTATAGCAGAAGTCATTGTACCAGGTAAGAGGCGCAGGGGCCGACCAACATTAAGATGGACACAGGATATAAGGGACTCTTTGAGTATGAGGCGGGTGAGCCGGTGAGAGACCGCGTTCTTCTTTCAGGCAGACAGTGATGAGACCGACGTTCTGCAAAGGACCTGCTACATGATTATTATTAGGCATTTGAACAAGGCTTTAAGCCAACTAGAAACTATTTATAGGGCTAAGAATAACCCACCTTGCCCCTTCCATGTTTTGTTTAGGTCACGATAAACCTCCCTGGATACAGCTGGTTTGATCAGGCTGGTGGCCGAGACAGTCTAGTCAATGACGTAAGGGGGACATAACGCTGAATGTCTGATTGCGTTGACAACCCGCAACTAGGCAACCGGCTAGTTCACACGCAAACATACGTGTTTGAACTGTGTCCATAAAATTACTGTTAACACCATGTTTCACATTTTTAAAGTAATCGTTAAAATGGTTTCTGCGTTCAGTAGCGTCTGCTTGATTTGCTTAGCAACTGAACGGCAGTCTTGTATAAGCTGGGCTGTTTAGTACCCTGATTTTTCAAGCACGATTATCACACAGCGCTACCACTGAACACCCCAATGAGTCGGTAAAACAAGTCACTGGTAGCTGATAACAGCCTGAATTCATTAGGGTTATCTGCTCAGATTCTGCTACAGCCAATAGTTATTCACAGCATAAAGACCACGAATCCACACAATTTAACCTTATCTATGCTTGCATCTTCTCAACTATCAATCGCTTTTTGACATTAAAAGTTATTTTTCTACTGGGAATGTTTTATATTTGTAAAGTCTAGCCAAATGCTGCTGGAGATCAGATAGTGGACGCAAATTGTGCGGACAGGACTATGGGGACAGTTAAATAAATTCGTGTTAGTCTTTCTGTCAACTTATATTTGTGTACACAGATATAGCATCCAAACTAGCAAACTTTCGTCTATGAAGTTATAGTGAAATCTTACATTTCCAGATTGCAGATCTTTGCTAGTTTCATTCAATACTTTTATGTACTACGACGTGTCTGTTTTTAATTTAGATAGACTGAACTGTCTCGCCTGAATCCGAGTTAATAACCTTTGTGAAGAAAGTGACCATTTGGTTAATATTGTTGTTTGAAAAGTTAGTTGCGTATTCTCTTACAAGACGTTGCAGAACCAAACCTAGCGGTTTCCAACTGTTTGATTTCACTAGACACATTTACGTTCAACAGTTTGTCATTGTTCCTTGAACAGTCAGCTTTCCCATGATCTGGTTGTGAAAAGATTATAAAGGGGATTTATAGTTATCATTTTGTTAAAAAAACATTGTGCAAAACACGGATTTATTTAGTATATGTGAACAATTTATTGCTCTCTAAGCGACACAAACGACATAAAATCAGCCTTGCTGTTTGAGTCTATAAGAGGAATTTACACAAACCAAGAAACATCACATGCTGATATTCTACAGCAGTATTTTGTAAAAAGTCGCTTACACGTTTCTTAACAAAGAAGAAGGAATGAACTGGTATTTGCAGTGTTGTATAGTGCTTCTCGTTAACTCCTGCGCCACCCAGGTGGTGGATATCAACTCCCTCCAACATCTGATAAAGAGACCTGATGTCCAAGTCACCACACCATCGCCTGAGGTTGTTTCCGCCATGGAAGCTTACGGACGACTGAAGGATGACCTCATGAACCGCTTGGTTGTCAAGAAAAAGATACCGCCATCGATCAGCAACTCGGACATAGTCTATTTATTTCTAGAACCTCTCCAGCTTATCTCTGTGGACGAGGTTGAGCAGACGATCCATCTTTCTCACATCATAGACATCCGCTGGATCGACCCCAACATGAGATGGAACCCGACACTGTACGGGAACATCAGTGAAATTGAGATTTCTACGTCATCTGTTTGGACCCCAAGACTAGCGCTTCCTAAAAGTATTATGGATGGGGTGGTCACGTTACCAGATCATGTGACTTTAACCTCAAATGGAAATTTCATTAGCTCATTTTCCGGGTATATAAACAGTTTATGCCAGCTAGACATGGCCTACTTTCCCTTTGACCATCACACCTGCACCATCGTGTTCATGGGAGAAACCTCCTTCAAGGTTCTCCCAGACAACACACGACGCCATGTCGATGTGGCGATGTTCTTCAAAGATGGAGGCGAGTGGGAGCTTCAGCCTCGAGGATGTTTCAGCAAAGACGACGGGAAAACGTACATAGAATGCTTCCTCTACATCAAGAGACGAAGCTCTTTCTATGTAACTAATCTGGTCGTCCCAATGGTATTCACGTCAGCCATGACGCTGATTGTATTCTGGATTCCCGCCGAGTCAGGGGAGAAAATCTCCTTCCTAGTATCTGTATTTGTCTCAACTTCTGTTTTCCTGAATTACATCGTGGAAACAATCCCGCGGAGCATGGGCAGCCTTCCACACATCAACGCCTTGCTAGTCTTTGTTGTGATCAAAGTCATTGCTGCAACTGCAGCTACAACTGTTGTCCTCCGCAGGTATAACACTTGGCGATTTCAGTACAACTCCAAAGGCAAGTCTGAAGGTCTCTATGGTAACCAGAAAGTAAAGAAGATCCAAGAAGTGATGATGGTCCCAGCTGATCTTTCTCTTGAATTGTCTAATGTGTATTCCAACTCAAGCAGGACGAAGGGTCCAAAGAAAGAGGATTTGTTGTTGAAAGGGACAGAGAAAGGAGTCTCCAGATGTTGCAAAAAGTCATGCCTACGGGAAGTAGTCATCTGGTGGTGCAGTTTGTCCCACGATGAACTGGATACGATTTTCTTTGGCCTCCTGGCCTGCGTGTCTCTGGTCACTTACTGTGCTCTGCTGTGTGTATGAGGCTAGAGTACGGTTACCAAGGCGACTTCTCCTGGCTCCAGAAGATGCTTCCTTTAATGGAACTTTGACAACACACACACACACACACAACACACACACAACAACACACAACAACACAACAACAACACCAACAACAACAGATCACCTCTACAGACGACTGCTGATACTTATGACTGGCTACTTGACTCAGAATGTATAAGTTTTTGTTTTAGATCTGATGTAACATAGATCAGATATAAATGTTCTATCTATAAATCTTCCAGACCAGATGCAATTTATCTGTGACGTAAAGATAAATTATACATGTTTTATCTATAAATCTTACAAACCAGATTAGAATTATCGGATGTCTTATAATCAGACAGAAATGTTTTATCGACTATGTAGCTTCAAACATTTTCCTTAATTTATGTATTAGGTAGAAAAAAAAGTATCAATACACTTGTTTACACTACATTTCCTTGAAACAGTTCCCGTCGGCAACTACACATTTTTTGTCAACGTTCATACAGTTGAAAACCATTCATTGATACTTCTTTCAGCTGCTTTGTTGTATTGGGCGATAATGTCAGCCGTATTCTTGAATCGCTGCCTTTTCAGTGCTGATTTTTGTCACAGAATCAGAAAAAAAAAAAAAAAAAGAGAGAAATGAGTCAGGGCAATAAGGTCTACTGTGTACGTAAATTGTTGCTGTGATTGTTATGTGACATTTGCCTCGTTAATATAAATTTCTGTAACCTATGGTGCCATTTCAATGGGTTGAAATGAATTCTGTCCGTATTCCATAGTCGTGGATTTCAAGCTGTACGATAGACATGGCCAATGAGACACCTTTTTTTGGGGGTGCCGAGTTGACCATGTATCTTAGTGCACTTGTATTCATGGCGAGGCGCAGACGCCGTCTGGAGGTGACATGTTCAATTCCCGGCACGGTAACTATAGCTTTCGATTTTTATGTTGTCTAGTGTGTTCTTCTATCTTTCTACTTCTTTCTATGAGTGCCGTTCACAATACTTTCTGTTACTTGATTAATTCATAATATTTAACGGCTTCAAATGGTTCCCCCCTCTGTTTATTTATAAAAAAAATATGAGTATTTACCGGAACCAATAGATGCATTATTGAAACTACATCCCTGCTGGGACGACAATTTGTTTTGTTTTTCAAACTGAGTGCTTTTCTGAAGCAACTTCGTGTTTACAAGATTTTAAAGTAATTTGTATATAGACCACATTTAACGGACAACTACCAAAGTAAACATATTTTAACATTCGTCTAACACAGTTTTATCTGAAATTTCCTAGTTACGACTCTCACTGTTCACAGATTTTTACTAGTATTTATTTCCGGTGATCATACGAGTGTCAGCTATTCAACCGATCGGACAAGTGGATTTCTGTGTAAGATACTTCATATAAGTGATTTTATGTATTTTTCTTAATATTGGCGGTTCACATAAATGAACCGGGGGGGGGGGGGGGGGGACCTTTGAGACCGAAGAAATATTTTATGTATAATAAACATCCAGACAATGTATTGAACGGCACTCATTGAAATAAGTGTTGTTTATATTATTTAGTGTGTCCATCTATCTTTCTACTTCTTTCTATAAGTTCCAATCAATAGATTGTTTTTTTTATTACACACACACACACACACACACACACACACACACACACACACACACACACACACACACACACACACACGCGCGCGCGCTAGCTGTACCCGGCCACGCGTTGCTGTGGTCCAGTCTGACCAAATAGGGGGAAACAAAACAAAATAGAAAGCGCGCGGGTCTAAAATGGACAATTTTACAATCACGGTCTGCGCAGATGTAGAGATGGTCTGGTTAGCCGACTCAAGAACATGCAACATAGAATTGTGCCCTGATATTATTGGTCCTTTAAAGTATTTTATTTGGACAAAAAATTAGTAATCAGAAGTAAATGCGGCCAGTGTATTATTTACCACATAACGCATCAGCACTACTACCACCACAACCACCAGCACCACCAATACAACGACAAAAATATGCCACTACTGTCTGTTTTACCACCTTTCCAAGTCAGGATAGACAGGGTGACATGAGCCAGGCAAACCCCATGGCCTATCGCCGCAGACTGTTCTGGTTACTGGGAGTCGAACCAGGCTCTCCCGCTTGACAGCCCGACGTTATAACCAGCTGGACAGCCACAACAACTACTAGTATTATGTTACTACTACTATGAACAGCTCAATCTTGTGGGCAAGGCGGTTACTGTGACTTCCCCGACATGGGCAGTAGTAATGTCACTGATGTCCAGGGACATGCATATCGCGAAGAAGATCGTGTCGGGGTTGGTGGATATGGGAGTGAACCCTGGAGCACCAAGGGCAACAGTCGTCTGATTAATCACCACAGAACGGGCGTCATTAGAGGCTTTTGCACTTGTGGAGCTATAGAGGAAAAGATCTGAGAACCTACAGATCTATCCGGAATGCTGCGATGATAGTCCACACTAACCAGTAATCTTCTATTTCCATATCTTTTCCTTCCCATATCTTTTCATTCCCATATCTTTTCATTCCCATATCTATTCATTCCCATACAGTCTTTCATCAGCTCTCTTTTCATTCCCATAGTCTTTCTGCAGCTCTCTTTTTATTCCCACAACTATCAATTACAACTTGTTTGTTATTCAACCGCCTTTACATTTCCAAATAGTCTTTCAATAATTCTTCGTCCCCATAAAGATATTCTTTATTATCTCATAAAGCTTTATGTAGATTTCTGAGGTCAACAAAGTTTGGGCAGGTAAACGTGTATTGCATCCGGCCCTTCCAAAGACTCGTTTTTCGCACAACAATTGTATTTGATATATACAGCATGTTTTGTTAAAGACGTCATGTGCATACTAATAAAAGAAAGGGACAAACTGGCAAGGAACTGTACGGTCATGTGGTGGCTCCGAACTGATCGAAGTTCTGCAAAAGACACATCAGGGGTTCTCAACCTGCGGATGGCGACCCGTAACGTCTTTTTTACAAGAGTCGCCTAAGACCATGGAAAAAAGACAATTTTCCATGCCTTTCGGGGGTAATGAGTATATAGGGCTAGACCTATATTTTATAGACCAAACGGCACTTGGTGGTTGATGTCATCAGAATCACACCGACTGCCTTTACTTTCCAGGACTGTACCTGGTGCCCACTCAAGGCTGTGTCGACCCGAGAGCAAAGGTCATGTTTGAAGAAAAAAAAATTCGACCCTCGTCAGGAACCGAACCCACGACCTTCCGATCCGCAGTCGAGCGTCCTGCCGCTACTAAACCTATGGAAAAACATATTTATTGAAGTTATGAAGTAGTAACAAAAAATTGTATGTTTTTGGGTCGCTTCAGCCTGTGGACTGTATTAGAGGATCACAGTATTATAAAGGTTGCACCACTGCACTACATGACGGTGTAGTCGTTCATTAGTAACAGTGACAAAATAAAAATCTAGTGGTCGAATTTTGTTTTTCCTTTAGAGAATGAAACGACCGAAATTTAAAGCCACAATCTAGCTTGTGGTCACTCACAACAAAACGTAAAAGAAAATTAGTAACCATGAAAATGAGGTGTCTGAGAAAGGTTGTAGGAGTGACAAGAAGAGATAAAATCAGGAATGAGGTCGTACGAGATAAAGTCGGCACATAACCAATTCTAAATTCATACAAAGACAGCAAATCAAATGGTTTGCCCACTTGGAGAGAATGTCTTCTGATGCTATACCATTCAAGGCATATACCAAAAGAGGAGAGGGACGTAGAACAAGAGGTAGACAAAGAACAAGATGAAAGTATGACATCAGAGAATCTCTACAGTACCACGATGTGTCTTTGGACGAAGCGGTCAGAAAGGCACGAAGCATGACCTTTTATCTCCATCTACACTCGAAGCAGTAGAAGAGGACGCAAAGAATAAGAAGATCTAACTAGACGACATAGAATCCCTTCAGCAGGCTTTACTCCCAGGTGACATAATCTGGTTAGCGATTCATCACTCGACACACTACAAATGGACTGCTCAGCCTTCCGTGATGCAGCCACGCCAAGCTATCTCTACTTATGTTGCCATAAGAGATTGATTATAGAGTTTTCTATCTTGTCCTCAAAGACGGCATAGATAAGCTTCATCAGGCTTTACTCCCAGGGGACGTAATCTGGTTAGCGGCTGAAACTCGTCACTACACCCCACAAAAGGAGACCAAACACAGCGTTGATGATTTCAACTCGGTCTTATATCTGCTAATTTGTAATGGTGCATTACCGGCTATTCGGTATGCTAATTCATTGCCCCTACTCTGGCCTTCCCAAGTGTGTAGATCCAGGTGAGGGAAGTAAAGTGTGACTTCCGAAAGCTGTCTGCTCATTCAGAGCAGAGGTTACCTTTTGCGATCTTCTCATGCATGTTCGTGGAGTCTGCTATTGTCACCGCGTGTGTAATTGTCGGTTCTTCCGCTCCACGCCCTTCTGAAGCTATTTATTTACAGTGTCAGCCGTGGTTCTGCTTATGCGATCGATATTTTCCCGGTCATGCTTTAAAGTAGAAGTCTGGTAAGCGCCACTATCCTCTTTAAAAGTCTTTCTCATTTTTGTGTGTGCCGCGCATAGCCACGCTGATCTTGACCCACGCGTCACGGTCCCAACTGTGAAAATGATTACGTTTACTGAACGGTTATGTTAATATATCAATGCATTTATCTCGGTGTCTACTGTGGCAAGAAACGGGCTTTGCCCCCCCCCCTCCCCCTCCCCCAGTGCTACTTGTTATTTTCTTGTTTTTTATTTCTCCCCTGGGTAAGCATAGTACTTCGTTATATTTTGTTTGTTATTTCCTTTACACAGTTGCATACTACTTTAATGTCATAATGTAGTGATTCTCGAGCCACGTTGTATTGTTCTTGTTTGTCGTATTTTAGTTGTTATTGCTTGCTGATGTAGACTTGTCGCTACCATGTCCTTTATTTGTTTATTG